GTCGAAATTTATTTAACCCCATGAATATTAATATTTATTCATGTTGAGCATATTAATGCAAAAGTAAATCATTTCCTTTTAGATAAGATTCCGGCCTCTTTCAATCTCCCTCGATGCGAGTGAATCCAATTTTTGTGTAGCTTATGAAATCCATTAAAAGGTCGAATAAAGAGATTAAATTTCATGCCTAAGGCGCGCGAGAGAATTATCGCTTTTAATTATTAAAAACTACGTGGGTATAAAGTTGTCGAGCCATTATAATTTCATTTTCTTGGCCACCCATCGCAAATCTTATCCACTTCCTTGGGCCCGCATAAAGTACCGAAAAGATCCTCTCCTCGACCAGGAGCAGCCCCTCACGCGTGCACATAAGTCCGGCCGAAGTGACGCGCGGAATTACTTTATCGCACACGCACACGCGTTGCCGCTGCTGCCGCTGCTGCAGTCACGGCCGCGTTATTCGCATGCATAGACAGAAAGAAAGAGAGATAGAGAGAGATAGAGACAGACAGAGAGACACATACACGGGGCGGCCCTTGTAGCAATGGCGCACGCCAAGGGCAGCATACGGGGATGGCCGATGAATGTACGCTTTCTCCCTCGTCTTGCTTGCTCCTTACAGTACTGGAGGGATAATTAACATCTGTTACAATGCCTATTGCGTGCGACCCGGTCCGCTTTCCTAGCCCCACCATCGACGGCAGCGGTGGCGTCGGCGGAGTCGACGGCGGCGGGGCGGACCTGGAATACATTATCACCCTCGAGAGTATAAGCGTGTATGGACGGAAGGAGATGGTGGTGAAGAAGGTGGAGGTGGTGGTCGATGTGGTGGTGGAGGTGGAGAAGGAGAGAGTGTAATATCGCTCCGACTGATCTCGGCATGCTATATGCATTGCTCGGCTTGCATTGTTGCAATTTAACACGCGCCGCGACTTATCCGCACTCTTCCAGGATTTACCCCGTTTCTTTTTCCTCCACCTCCGCCGACGCGCTGTATTTTTATTCTTGGCGCCCCATCGGTGCCGCCGCGTGCGTGTCGGGACACGGTATAACGCCCCGAGCGATCGCGGGCGACGTTTCGCAGTGAGCCGCTCGTAAATTGAAAATCCGTTCTGTATAATGCGATGATCGAAGTGTATGCGAGCACAGCTTTTTTTCCATGAACCGGTTTCAAAATTCACCTCTACCGCGCAAGCGAAAATCCCAGTCCCGGAACGGGGCGGGGGAGGATGGGCAAGGGAGGGCTGGACAAAGCGCCGAGAGAGCATGACCTACGGGATTTTTGAGATCGTGGATTTATCGCGCGGGGACACTTTGTCTCCCTTCTCCCCTTCCCCCATTATTTTATTTATTTTTTTTTTACCGTTTTTTTCTTTTTTCTTCATTTCATCGTCTTCTCCTTCTTCCTCTTCTTCCTCTTCTTCTTCTTCTTCTTCTTTTTATTTCTTTTCTCTTTAAGTTTTTTTCGTTTTTATTTGTTTTTTTTTGTTTTTTTGTTTTTTGTTTTTGTTTTTTTTTTTGCTGATAGACCATTCTGTTTTAGACACATTGATTGTTGTTTGCGCGATTATGGTGCTACTTTGTTCTTGCGCGGCACGATTGGAAAGGCTGCTTCGGAATTATGGGTCGAGATGTTTCGTTTTATGGGGAGTAACGCGTCGCCTCTGTGATGTGACAAAAAGATTTTTACTGCAAGAGGTGCGTCTAATGTCATAACCGACGTCTTGTGTCATTCGATTTTGCAATTAAATGGCAAACATTTAAAGGAAACGCGACGAGATCTTAGTTACCATAAGAGTTCAAAGGCTCGGCCGCTCGATACTATGTTTGCATCGAATTATTTTGCATATTCGAGTAACGATCGAAATGGTTTAAATACATCGTAATCTGTCAACCCTTTAGATTTACGGATCTGCTTTTGAATAATAAAAAATGTTTATTGTTTGAGAAATATAACGATATGGCGAGTTATTTCGCGATAAGACGGCTTTTGAATTAATTTCATTGCGCGCGCAATTAAACAAAAATTTATCTACGAGAAACAAATATTAATTGCGATAACGCGAGGGAATTATATGCGGGAATTATGATTTTTGGCCGATCAAACGAATTCGCCGACTCGCCGACTCGCCGACTCGCCGCTCCGTGCGCGCTGCGTGCTCGCTAATTAGCCGGGCGCTATTCTTCCAATATCCACCGACCAGTCCCTTAGGACGCGCAAGTGCAATCTCATGCCGAGCCACCAGTGCAAAAGGGCCTCGTCGATCTTAAAAGTGGAGTAGTGGCGCTCGAGCCACCAGTCCCTCCACCTCCTCGTGCTGCTGCGCTCGGGCGAAGTATTGTTTCCGCGCGCAGTTACAAGACGGCGGCGCGCGCGACTCGAAATACGAGAGCAAAGGATATCCACGCGCATGGCATAAATCGCTATAATACAAGTAGGCGCGAGCGAGGCGTCGTGGAAAAGGACGAAAAATTCGATCTAAGGACGGGGGGAGAGGAAGACAGTGGGAGATGCGAGGAGGACTCGTATATTACCCTCTGGCTTTTGTTTTCGTGACGTCCCTTTGTTTTGCGCCTCGTTTTCGCAATTCGCTCTCGATGCGAAGGGAAAAGAGGCGCGCACACGTACTTCCTTTTCATAAACACGGGGGCCCGATCCGCATCGCCGGGGAACTGGATATTTGCATCTCCTCAGGAGTCGCGGCGCCGCCATTGGTCTGCGGAAAATTCGCGGCCAAGCGATGGCCAATTAGGAGTGGCAGTGCTTTTGTTCCCCATTTCGTTGATGAGGAATGTCTGCATTGTTTTTGCGAGTGCACTAAGGTTGACGGGCGGACGGCGAATGGTCGAGGCGGGCGACGACGGGAGGGGCAGAGGGGCGATGGAGGGAGAGAGGACGGGAGAGAAGACCGTTGCCAGGATTCTCTGGATTTGCTTTTTGATGGAGAGAAACAACGGGGAGAATTCAAGACATTGCCGGGCGCCATTTGTTAGGGATGCCGAATGAGAATATAAAATCGTCTACTTATTTCAGTCTATCTTTTCAATCAATTTAATGAACTTCTTTGTGTAATATACACGGACATAAGAGTATGCTAATTCCGGCGAATTTACGTCTGCTAAAAGAGTTAGAGCGTTAAAAAAATGCATTGCTTACATTATCATGGAGGTTGCAACAACGAAATATTTTTTACTCTTTGCTTTCGTGAAAATTTTTAAGCCACCAATGGGTTTTATAATACTTTGAAAATATATTTTGCATCGATGCTAATCGCTCAAATCTATTATACAAATACAAAACATTTACTTAATCGAATTATGACTTTTTTCAAATTAATGATATTAAGCCTTCGGATATTGTATTTAAATTTATATTTAAATCGGATAAATATTTAAATTAATTTTAAGCAAATACATAAATGTTAAGTATGTAAATACGTAATGACATTTCATGTGTCATTTTTGTTTCAGGATGAACTGACGAGGCAGACGAAGAAAGACACTCGCAATGTCTGCCGTAACGAGTCCATATGGACCTAGTAAGTAGAACACTACTAAAGAACAAAGAATAACAAAATCCTCTTCCTCTCAAAGTGTACGTTAGTGCGAGGATAAAAACGCGAAATACGAATGCAACAGTTACATCAAACGTCGGCTGACTCATTGTCGATTTTAAAAATTTGAATCAATCATCGATATTTATGTTTAAAACTTGTCCAACAAAAGCACCAAAATGTATGGTAATAATATTGCAAATCCAAAGTTTGTACTGCTCTTGCGTTGGAGGGGGGTGGGAAGGATTAAAAACAAAAAAAAACAAAATAACGAAAAACAAACTCGGCTTAAATTATATAACCTGGCGTTGTGACATAAATAATCGTGTTCCATTTAAAGTGAACATTGACTTCTGGCCTCTAATTATCCGATTAAGTAAAGAAAATAAAAGAAATGAAAAATATGTTAAAATCAAATCCCAACGATGCACAAAGAAAATCGGTGCAGCGCTATGCGTCCCCCCACCCCCCTTCTCCCATCACCCTCACCCACAAAGCTCAGTACGAGCAAACAAAAAGAGTTCAAACGTCTGATATAAGAGCCCTGGCAATCGGCGTAAATTGCAGCGGAGATGCTTTCGGAATCGGTGTATAACTTCGCGGCGGCATCTCGGCGCAGCACCGGCGGCGGCTCCACGGCCGATCAGGACAGCGATTCCCAGCAATACGAGGCCCAGCCGACCGCCACCCAACTCCAGCTCGCCGCAAGCATTCAGCAGTCACAGTCGTCGCAGTCTCAGTTGCAATCACAGTCGCAACTGCAATCTCAGTCCCAAAGCAAACCGCGCAACAAGCGTAAGAACTTCAAGCCGATCAACAGTCGCATGGCCGAGGTGTCGGACGAGTCCGACGAGCGGGACGACGACGCGGAGTCCGGACCGAACGAGGATCGCCGAGGAAACGGCGAGGAAGCGCCTCCGAGCGTCGATACCCTTGACTTCGAGAGGAAGACGATGCTGCTGCAAGCCGCCGAGGAGAGAGCAGCCACGGCCATCTCCGTCGCCGGTCAATTCGGCAAGCAGAGGCTCAACAACAACGAGGTCATACCGATGGACCTGTCCGTAACGACGAGGCCACCCTCTTCCGAGGGCGACGACGACAGCGGCGACTCCTTCAGGCATAAGTTCATACTGGAGCAGTTGAGGTCGCAGAAGCTCTACTCACCAGGCACCGATGTGAGTAGTAGTACACTTGCTTTAGTTCGCTCTCTTACACACACACACGCACACACGCGCACACATACATACAGACACACAGAGAGAGAGAGAGAGAGAGAGAGAGAGAGAGACACAGACACAGACACACATAGTGACTTACTCACTCAGTCGTTCGCTCGCGCTGGGCTTGGCGACCTCACGGGGCTCACTCACCGGTTAATATGAATGTCGAGATATTTTTATCGAGGATATCGCGACGCTCGCTTTTTAAGCAATAATAGTCATTCGTTCGATCGATCCGCGTTGCTTATTGCCATACAATAGCACTCTCATAATGGAAAATCATCTTTGTCGAACGAAGCTCCGGTTCGAGACATTTAAGCTGTCATCCAATGAAAAGAGCGTGTCTCGACTCGTTGCGTTTTTTAGAATGTCCCGGTTCTATTTCTATCGATCTTTCTATCTCTCTATCTGTCTTTATTATTATTTTAAGTACGGCAAGGATAATCTTTATTGCCAACCGAAAATACAACGTCTGATTTTACCGGCAACAATGTAAAATTGCTCTTTAGCAATTTTTTTAGGTCGGCAAACGGAGCCGGCAGGCTGACAATGAAATTGTAAATTCGCTCGATAAAAGAAGCACTCGTGTCGGGCATTCGCTAACAGCCGATGGCAAAGCCAAAAATTGGCAAAATAGGCAAAATATGGAAGCGACGTGTCGAAAGCCAAGGCGAACGCGGTGATAATCTTAAAACACGAGCCGCCCATGGCGAGGCCAGATAAGTGAGCGGAAGGGTTTTGATTATGCTGCAGGCCCGGAGCCCGGCCTCGGAGTCATCGGACAAGAGCGTGGGCAGCGTGGGCCCGATGGACCAGGAGCAGGACCAAGCGAGCCGGCTGGATGAGGGTCCGGACGAGGACGAGCGCAACGAGACGGAGAACGAGGTCGAGCCGGAGGAGCGCAGACCCTTCGACAACATGCGCGAGTACGCGGAGTCGACCATGCAGGAGCTCCTCGCGATTTACGGCCTCGCGGGTGGCGAGCTGGCCAAGAGCGTCAGCAGGCAGCTGCCCCCCAGCTTCCTCAATCCCGCCATTGGACCCCACCTCCAGCATCAAGGTGAGTTGTTGCGCTTTTTCTCGACATCGGTTAAGCGTCCCGGTTATATATAACGATATCTCTGGGATGCTTATTGTTGGATTATGTTGTTGGCCAATGAGTATCAATTGTATTTTATAATAGTTCTATCATTCCATGATATCGAGTGTCGCCGTGGTATGATATTCATAAATAACGTTTGCTTATTGATTCACAAGAGCTTACTAACACACATAGTTAAAAATATTAATAAAACGCGTTGTTTATTGTAATTCTGTGGCCAATAAAGTATGTTAACATTCTTAACTATGTAGCTATGTACGTAGCTGGACGATGACTATTTCTAAAACATATGCAGTCAACGCCTGAGCCTGAGCTCCATTGGATTACCTTCTCTTATTTATAAGATGCTAATAATTTTCATAATCGTCGACAAAGTTGAGCATTGAAAATTACAAGGTGATAAGTGCAGTCGGCATGTTATTCATTACCAAGGCCGAGAACAATATTTAACGCGAGTCCATTTCCGATGTTTCAAATATAAACATCAACATCCCCGGCGCTTTTATTCGTAAGCCTACACTCTCGATAACATCAAGCGCGAACAATTTATGGTCCAGCGTAGCCTATATATTCAGCAAAAGGTAAAATAATATCGTATATATAGATTCTTGGGGGCGCGCATTACGACGAATGCAGCAAAATTTTTCCTGCCTGTGCGGATATTTACATTTAGCATTAAGTAAGCAAATGAGCAGATCTTGTAAACATACGGACAAAATCATTAAACGTAATGTCACAGACTCGGCGTAATAAGCCGCCTCCCTGCGCTCGTGTTGCGCATCAGCAAGCGCTATTTTTATTTTCCTTCGAGCGAGCGCGACAGAGAGCAGAGAGTCAGCGAGGTGGCGGTGAGACTGGGATGGGGTGGGGGACAGGCACATAGGCTCGTTCGTTTCCTTTTAACAGCAATTATGTTAATTGCCGAGACCGCGAAGCATATAGAAACGTCGAACATGGGCGATTCTGTGCTCAGAGGTACGTACATACACGAGCACGCGAGGCCGATAATTTATTCGTCGCTGGAAAGCGCGTACTTTGATCCATCGACACGCGTCTCTTAGGGGATGGGATGTCGAAGGTGGGTCGGGAAGGGGCATCGACGAGGGGAATAGGGGATGGGAGAAGAGACCTTTTCTCTCTTTGTTGACGTTTATTATTACCTTTTTCTTATTCTTCGCCTCCCCCGGACCAAGAGATATTTCGCGCAGTGTACGAGACATTAACATAACGAGCTTTGTTGGCCGGAGCGAAGGATTTATGTCCCGAGTAGCCTCAAATTGAAAGCTTTGTCGAAAGGCTTACAAAATTACGTGTCACTTTTTGTCGGGATGCATTGTTATTAGACGCGACGCGAGTGTACTTTCTTTCGTGAATACGCGAAACGAATGGTAGAGCCGAGTCGTAAAATAGGCGATTGTTTAAACGAGAGTTTGGCCATTTGACAATACGAAAGGAAATAACGCCGAAAGCCGACGGTGGGCACGAAAATCCGGGATCGCAAAGTTTCGGGGAAAAGATCGATAAGGGAGCGGCGCCGTAAGCGCGAGCTAGACGATAAATCATGAGGAGTAGCGGAGAGTCCGACGCGAATCGATACACGAGTACTTTGAGCGCTGACTCTACCCAACGTGGCACTTACATATTCTCGGTGTCTCGCACTCTGCCCAATATGGCCGACTTATAACTCATAAAGTCCCTCGCCGGTCGTCCGATCGATGGGAGATGCGCGCGCGCGCGCGCGTGGGACGAGCGAACGATCCCTCGCCCGGGATTTTCTTAACTGTTGTCGATTTTCCTCAATGACTCGCAGAAATCGATGTCTTCTTGCGAGGGCGCGGAATCGAGAATTATTAACATACTTTACGCCGAATGAATTATTGTGGTGGGTACCAGCGGAGAAATATGTTTAGATGGTGAAGGAATTCTTTTCATTGCTAGATAAACGTCTTTGTGGTAAAGGGATTCGTTTAGATGTAACACTAGCATGACCATTGCTGGAAATGGTTATTGATTTATTATGAAAGATTGAAGGGTGATGGAACTTTATTTTATAACAAAAGGATCATTTTGCCAAATATGCTTCAAGGTACGAGCAAAATCTTACGAGCAAAAATAATGATAAATTAAGTTGAATAACGATAATAAAGAAAAGGACTTTTCGCAGGAAAGAGCTCAAATTACTTGATCAATCGATTTGTATAATCCATTCTCAAGAATAATATACAAATTTCGTAATTGGCCCAATATTTATAGTATTATGTATATGTATGTATATATATATATATATATATATATATATATATATATATATATGTGAAAAGTTCCTAGTTTTTTTTTTCATAATTTCTATGGTATTAGGCTAGAATATATTCTTCTGAGTAATTAATTTCAAATTAAGGATTAAAATATTATATTTTTTAATGACGAAATTATAGGATTTAGTGTGATCAAAGATTACATTTTATCAAAGAAATCTTTCATAAGATATTTCGATATACTTGAGAAATATTGAAGATATTCCCAATAGCGTTAAGCAATAATTTTAACTAAAATGATAATTTCCGATCGGTCAGCTGTTCACAAAGTCGTAGATTTTCAGCGTTCGGTAAATATCGAGAAGTAGTCGATGCGAATATAATCCATCGACTCAATTAGAGACAACAGAGAGTCTGGATGTACCCAATTTGCAAAATTGCAACATCGGTATGTGCTGCAAGCAACCATCACATATTTGTTTTTTTAGCTTTTCCTCGATTTTATAATTAGTTTTTTCAATGATGATTATCTTTGTATTTGCGTATACAAATAGTTTAATCTAAGCAATTATGTTTGTTAAATCGCCTCTTGCATTACCAGTCATTGATCGCAAGAATACGATTCATTATAAAATTCGATTCTCGGCAATTGCTAGAGCGCAGTCACGTATAAGAGGAATGTTGCTCGTACATATTTTCACCGAATTTCCCAATAACCGCTAAGCGTATCCTCAACTATTATCAGCGGCAATCAATAATCATAAATAAATCCCTTATTTGCCCGGTTGATTGAATGATATACGCGCGAGCCTCGTTGAACCATAATTTAAAAGAACATAACGTAGCATTAGGCGGCATAAATCCGCGACGCGGATCGTTCTACAAACCATAAAAGAAGCACACGCACGCATGCACTCGTTCTAGACGAGGTTGACTCGTAGACGCTGCAACGCCGGTAAACGCGAAGCCTCGCCGAGGTTGAAGGGAAAAAGGAAGAGGGCGGGAGGAGTGAAGGGGTTGGACAGGATGGAGGGGGCAAAAAAAAAGAGAGAAAAGAGAGAAGAGCGGCGTGAAACCAAATGCGAATAAAAAAGATCTCTAAACTGGCGAGGGGCCATTTCGCGCCTGAACTTCTCACCTCCGGCTTCTCCACCTACGTCCCCTAACCTGCAATCAAACTCCCCTAGTCGCTCGGTAGCCGCGTATTTCCTTTTCCCGTCCTCGTACCCCTCTCTCTCACTCTCTCCCACTCTCTCCCTCCCTCTCTCTCTCTCTCTCTCTCTCTCTCT